TTAATGCTTAAGAAACTACCATTTTTGAATTTGGGTATAATATTAAAGAAGAACATCTACAATTATCTGAAAATCTATTAAAATACTCTTCCTTTTCCCAACAACATATATGTGTGAGGTCACATTTTCTTCATATATGTCAACCAAAGCAATAAATCAAAATGAGTGGAATACATAAGCAAATACAAGAATCCAACTGTCTTCTGTTTAGCCTGACATTAAATGGATTTGCAAAAATGTAAAGTAATGCCACTCTTCTGGATAAAGTTTTCTGTTGTGGAAAATATATTTTCATGAAAAATGTTATCTATGCTGATATGGGTTTATTATAGTCATTTAAAAATGAATTAGTAAATAAATTTCTCAGTTTTAATCTCTAATACATAAATATTGATAGATTCAACCCACATAAATGAAAGTTTTTGGGGATTCTCAATCATTTTTTTTTTTGTGAGGAGGATTAGCCCTGAGCTAACATCTGTTGTGAATCCTCCTCTTTTTGCTGAGGAAGATTGGCCCTGGGCTAACATCCATACCCATCTTCCTCTACTTTTTGTATGTGGGACGCTGCCACAGCATGGCTTGATAGGCAGCATGTAGGTGTGCTCCCGGGATCCAAACCTGTGAACCCCAGGCCGCCGAAGTGGAGCACGTGAACTTAACCACCATGCCACCCGGCTGGCCCATCTCAATAATTTTTAAGAGTATAAATGGATCCTGAAACCAAAAAGATCATCCTTGGGAAGGCCTTCATCCCTGTATGACATGGAAGGGACATGCTGCCCACCTTTTTTGGATGTTTTATCTTGATAGGGTTCTTCTGTAGATAATCCATGGGCTGTATGATAACTGCATACTCTCACCAGTTTTCTGGTTGAATGACTGGAAAAGTTTTCTTCACACAGTGCTTTGTGATGTCCTTTGGCCTCTACTTGTTTACATATTAAATTCATCTCTATTCTTCTTTCCTCTAGCTGTGACAATTCCAATAGCATTATTTGGCCCCAATACTATCTTAACACAGTGCCAATGTAGACACTGAAATCATGTTATGGTATTCAGTGGCTGTTCAGATGACCCAGAATCTGCAAACATTAGTCTTATTTTAAATAGGCACCAAAGGAAAAGAGAAAATGTGAAAGTCCTTATGCAGCACTCATAGATGCCTGGGGGTGAGTCTGCAGACCCCGCTGGAGAAGCCCGAGCTAGCTGGCTCAAGCATAGCGGTCCATGGCCATGTGCTGAACGAATCTCAGAGATGTTGGAAATGCTGCTGTTCTTATCACCAATTGTGTGGTTATTTCATAGTTTCTTAAGAGCTATACCTAAAAACCATCTTGACGGTTCCCTTTTATTTTTATGCCCCAAGTCTCAGTTTGAGATGTTTTCCTCTCAGCTTCCTTGATCACCAATGGACCAAAGATCTAAGTCCATGTCCACCCTTAGTTCTTCCTCCCAAAGTCTCCATCAGGCAGTTCATAAGCCTTGTCTCCCTCTAGTAGATGCCTCTTTCTTCTGGGTACAGAGGTCCCGAGTCATCTTCCTTCAACTGTCCCACACTCTGGCTTCACCACATTGCTATTAGGTCTCCAAAAGGTCACTTTGTGGTTCTCCCCAGGTATCTAAACATTCCTGTTTTATAAACTATTCCTTTCTTCCTTTAAAAAGTCAATCAGTATTTTCTCCACAATTCCTACTTCAGAGTTGAGATGCGGGTACTCACTGAGAGGCTGGTCATGTCCTCTTATGTCAGACAATTCTCAAATATTTAGTTTCAGCTCTGCCACTTTCTGGCTGTGTGAACACAGGCACATTACTTAGCTTTCTGAGCCTCAACGTCCCCGTCTGTAAAGTGATCATAATACTACATGCACTGCCTGTCGTGTGTGGTTGTGAAGCTCAAATTTGATAAAGGATGTGAAAATATTTTGAATATTGTAAAGCGCTAGTCAAATGCAACTGAGGAGTAAGACATTGACATATTTAATAGTCACTTTATGATTCTTCCATTGAGGCTAGACAAGAGCGACATCTCGGCATCGATCAATATATTGAAGATTTAGGAACACAAGATTCTTAAACAGAGGATTTTTTTTCTGCATATTTTCTTCTTCTAATTGCAGTATATCATATTTGAATGTTGTGGTACTTGATGGAATTTTTTTGCAAACTATTACCGATGGAAATGAGAACTCATTAGCCTCTCCAAATAGGTCATGGCTGCTCCCTGTTCCAAAAAGAGATGCCCTATCGAGTAACTAAGTTCTGTTTAGAAATAGAATATTTGCACCCTGAAAGGCCAGTTTTCTTTTTATAATGTAATCACATTAAAGACACTTAGGAAATAAAGAAAAAGCATCTCAAATCCTACAATTCTGTGTCCTTGCCGTTACAGCCTAGTTGTTATGCATAAACACAGATAGCTTAAGAGGCTATAATTATCATGTACAAACCATTTGATATTCTGCGTTTTTTCACTTAGCATTATAGCAATCATTTCTCCATAGCCTCCATGCTCATCATTTTAATGGCAAAATAATATTTCATAAACTTAACTAATCGTAATCCTCTTTGGGCCAGGATGTAAGTCGTCTCCAGGTCTTACTTTTGCTACTATTGATAATGCTGTACTGGAAAGCTTCTTAATTATAGCTTTTTAGCTCTGTTGAAAGATAAATTCTCAATGGCAGAATTATTCGCTCAAACGGTATGAAAAATCTTTAGGATTCTTGTGAATATATTTTTATTGCTTTCCAGAAGGATTTTCACAAGTTACAAGACCTTTAGACATGTTTGATTTCATAGCAAACATTACAGCATTGAAAAATTTATTATACAGCTTTACTAATATGTGTAAAATGCTATCTTAGAGTTGTTTTATTTTTAATTCCATAAAGAAAAAACAATTTTCAAGAGGTACTTTTTTTTTTTTTGCTGAGGAAGATTCGCCCTGAGCTAACATCTGTTGCCAGTCTTCTTCTATTTTGTATATGGGTCGCTGCCACAGCATGGCTGCCGATGAGTGGTATATGTCTGCACCCAGGAACTGAACCCTGGCCACCAGAGCGGAGCATGCCAAACCTAACCAGTAGGCTGGGGGCCGGACCCAAGAGGTACTATTTGGAAGACAAACTTTTGGCACCAAAAAGAGAAATCCAGGTAGCAGACAGTATCTTCATTTAGCACTCTGTCCACACCAAGAAGGTGAGAGAGCCAGTTGGTACCAACCTCCCGTTCAGAGGATGAGAACAGCCAGACCTGCCCCTCGAATCCACAACACAACCAGGCCTATAGTATGTAGTAGAGTGGATAGTCCTGAAATAGTTTATATATACTTGCTGGAACTCACCAATAGAAAGTTTCAGTTTTGCTGAACTTCTAAACCAGCAATACAAATTGCAAATATTCCAGAAAGGAACATTAGATTGGTAACACGAAAATTGATTATCATCCAACTACCGGCATCTGGACTCAGTAAGAGGAATTTACAGGCAAACAGAATCTGGTGTGATATTTATAGCAGCTTAGAGGGAGCCAGGCCTCTTAGCTTTGCTATTTGCATCAGTTCCCAAGGGAACTTGAGTGGACAAGCCCACTCCAGGTTTTGCAGTTCTCTGTTGTCCATTTGCTAGACAGCTTCCCTGAAAGAAGTGATGTGAAACTTGTGAACCAGAATCATGGAAATACTCTGACAGTCTCAGATGGAAGGGGCAATTTTAATTCTGAAAGCTTTTTCTGTTTAAAAAAAAAAAAAATCAGATCTTCTTTTCACTATTTCATATTCTGGTTCAGGTACTCTTAATAAAATGCAAAGAAAATGACTGAGAGTTAATTTTCATAAATTCAAAATCAGTAGCAAAATATAAAAGGAAGTGCTCCACTGTGAAAAAAAATTTTAAAAATTGTTAAAAAATGTGAATGTCAGCAGAGGTGATTCTAGGCACTTAGGGATGTTTGTTCCCCATCCTAGCTTGCCTTTTACATGTCTAACTTCTTTTCTGGTAGGAAAGTAGATTGTAGAGGAAAAAAAAGTCTTATTTCATCATAAAAACAATTGTATGAAGCAGATATCATTGTTGTCTTCGTTTTACAGCTGAAGACACAGACTCAAAGAGGCGAAGGGCCTTGCCCCAAGGTTGCGTGGTTCAGAAGGGTATCTCCACTCTCTTATCCAAGCCCTTCTACTTCTGCTAGGCATTACTCTTCCTGCACTTGAAATTGAGTGCAAGTTGCAATTCTTTTACCTAGGCTATAGAACGGGTCTGGGAAAGACGGCGAGAATGGTGCATGAAGGCGTTGGAGAGAAGTCCTTGGATGGAGAATGTGTGAACAGCAGGTGGCAGCAGTGTCCTTGGAGTTCGTGGTTGTCCCCTACAGTCCTTGGAAAGCAAGGTCAATACACACCAGGGAAGGCGTGGATCTAATGCCTGACCTCTGATCTCTGACCTGGTTCCCACCCCTCATCCACTTCCTGCTGAGCTAGGTAGATTATCTGACATCTAGTAAGGTGTTTCCCTTTCTCTGCCCTGTATCCCTGAGGAACAATCGGGGAGAAGATTGGGAAAGACGACCCAGAAGTCATTTACAACGGAAAGGCTCCCATCTAGATAATTAATGTCATGCAGTGTGTGACCTTGGCATATTCCCTCTCTGTTCCTCGATCTCCTTTCCTGTAAAATGAGGATGATAATGGCCACCTGCCTCACAGGGTCATTGAGATGACTGAAGGAACATGATACTCACAAAACCTTAGAAGAGCACAATGCCTGGTGCACACTATGCTTATAACACGTGCGACTCATTAGTATTCTTCTTTGTAGAGGGCTTTATCTTTTGCAGCGATCTTCCATCCTCCCTCCGTATTTTGAAATGCAAATACTACACCCATTTAACAGAGAAGGACTCTTAGATTGAGCCAGAGGAAGTAAAAATTAGCATGAGCTTTGAAGTCAGACAGACTGGAAGTTAGACTCCTCGGAGGTGTGGGACCACGTGCAAGTTACTTACAGCCTCAGTTTCTTTGTCTATAAAATGGTGGTAATATTCCCTATCTTGTGCATTTATTATGAGGATTAAATAAAACAACATATATGAAGCCATCTGGTGTAGTTCCTCTTACACAGTGAACACTTAAAATTACTAAAAGGATGTCTTAAAATAAAACACAGAGAAAGTTTTAAAGAAGGCAAGTAAAGATCAGAAATAACTCTGTTATTAGCATGTTGTGTTTTGTTCCCCAGTGTTTGCATGTAATATGGCTGAGATCACGTCACATATGTACAGGAAACCTGACTGAGGTACGGCCCTAAGAAAGTGGCAGAGCAGGGCTTTGGCTCCAGTCCGGGCTCTTCTGTGTAACCACTTCTCTCCATTGCCTCTATGGAGTTAAGCCTTAAATCCTTTTTGAGAAACTGATGAAAAAATATTTAAATGTTTCAAGTTTGAAAATATACTCTTACATTCAAAAGCACAAAAAGAAACCAGAAGTAACCAAAACAATCGTATCCTATAGTTAAAGGCTAGAATTTTGCCTGGAAAGTGTTTCATGTGGAAAATATTTTAATTTCTATGTATTTCTGTTTAGCCAACAACATTTTAATTGTTAAAACGTTACTGTTCAAGCTGTTACAATTACAATGGGTAAATTTGGTAAATCCAGTAAACTAGTCATTTGACAATGATTAAATTGACAAATTGAGTGAATTGATTATTCAGCAGATTGGGTTTTAGGGTGCACTAATTTTTGGCAAATTGGTTTGCATCTATTGGACGTAGAGTAGTGCTCAATATATATACTTGTTGACTGAATGAACACATGAATGAATGAAATGACCTTTCCCTCTAAAGATCAGTGACTTACATGATGTCAGCATTTGAAGAACCTTGGAAGTTTCCTGAGACAGATTCCGGTTCTAGGATCACGTGTACTCACAGTGTGTACCCCGACTCCAAACCCACGCTCATGGCCTGGGTGGCTGTTTAGTGAGAGTCGGTGCTTCCCTGCTGGTTCAGAGTCGTAGCCACACATTATGGGCTTGGAAACAGAAGAACCAGGTTCCAGGCTGGCTCGGCTCATGCATTCACTAGCCCCAGAACACTGGCCAGTCAGCTCACCCTTGAACTGTTTCCTCATCTATAAAATGGGAGTCATTCTGGTGCCTGCCCGACCTTGTTGCCAGCCTCACTGTCAAGATCAAATACAATATGTAAATGTTCTCTGGGAGCAGGGAAGTGCTAGATGAATGTTAGTTCATTATTGTGAAAACTACTAGGCCTCAGGGTCCCAAGGACCATAGGCTCCCGGTGGTGGGAGGGGCCGGGATCTCCTTTGGGAAGGAGGTCCAGGTCTGCTCTCTGGAGGAGGGCCACTCTTCCCCTTTGCTCTTTGACCTCTGCCTTTCTGGTCACTGACACCCATGAAAGAGAGACACACAGACGTATTAAACTGCTTCCCCCAGGTCACCTGCCAGTGAAGAGCAGGCAAACACCTGTAAGCAGCCTTACAATGCCTCCCCGCCGCCTCCCCACCCCCCCGCCCCCGCCGGCCACTTCAGGGCTGAGGTTGTCTGCCCACAGCCCCTGGAGGGGTAGTGAGGAGAGGAGCCTGGATTCTCCCACAATCACTCCTGGGCCTCCAAGGCCAGGCTGGTGACGTCCTCTTTAGTCTGGTCTCCGCCCACCTCTACACTCACAGCTCTGAATCCAGCCTAAGGAGGTTCTGAGGGGGTTTCTACTGGCCACCTTTGCTGCCTCACAAAAAGAGATCCACAGTCAAAGAAACCTGGCTGGGGAGGGCAGGGGAAGGGAGAGAACAAAGCTGGGTGAGACAGGAAAGGGCATGGAATGGTATCAACCCGGGAACAGGACCAAAGACAGAAAAATGAGGGAGGAGACAGATAACTGGAGAGCACTATTTTTTTATTTTTGGTTCCTCAGAATGCTTAATTTTATTGTGAAATTTTCGTTGTACATTATTGTTTGTCAGTCACCATATAAGGAGAGTACTTTTTTTTTTCCTCCTCCCTTTTCTCAAGCGTAAGAGTGAAATGATTAAGAAAAAAGAAAAAGACATCCTTCAAAAAACAGTAGCCACCAGTGTCAGCTCTTGGTGCTTGCTTGGGGGGCAGCACAGTCCAGCTGCCATCAGGAGACCTACCACGCTAAGTGATGCTGCCAGCCGGCCAGTCCAGGCCCGAGGCCCCCAGCGTCTCCTTGCCTCACACCCAGGCTACAGGACCTGCGCAGGCCACTGCCACCAGCCAAGCAGTAATCTATCAGCCGCTTATTCTGGTTCCGTTTCTCTTTCTTGAGTTACACTGGCCCTAGCAGAGCCTTAACATAACAGTTTATTACACTTGTAAGGTGCTTATTCCTTCCAGCGAGCTTTACATCTGCCAACTAAAAGCTCATACATCTAAACAGCCCTTCAGGGTGGAAAGTACATGTGTACAGATGTAGTCTGAATTGGAAGGTTCTGAATTCATTATCACAGATAATGCAGTTACTATCTGATATCAGCTGGGGCCCCATCTCACCCTCAGAGATCTGATTGAACTTGGCCTAAACCCCAGTTCCAGGGGTTGTGACCAGGGCTGGTTTCAGACCGTAACAGGCCCCAGGGCCTTTTAATCATGGAGTCTACATTCCACATCAAATCAAACACATTAGAATATACCCATATTTCACATAAAATGTAACATTTTTGCTGTGGGAAAAAAAAATCAAAAGGGTTTTATTAATTTTGCTTTTGAAATTATTTAGCTACCAGTCATTCATTTACGATACGATCGGCTCTGATTTCTGGGCTGTCATCATACATGCACAGGAAATTTTATAGAGTGAGAAAATTGAATCATAGCATTATTTTCAACTATAAAATATTTATAAATACTAAATTTTAAAATGAAGTTGACATAATTATGTGTTTTATAGACATTTAATGAAAATGTATTACTTTCAATTTTATACTTCTCTCTTTACGTTTTAGATCAATTAAATTTTTTTCTCATCTCACGTGTTTTCACAGGCCTTTGAAAAAGCTCATCTGCCAGAGGCCCTGTGCCAGTGGGGCCTGCTGACCAGACGGCCCTGTTTGGGGTTGCTAAAAGCCCTTCCCAAGATTTTGGCCCATCCCTCACCCCACTTCTAGCATCTTTCTGATTCCTTGCTCCTGCATATCTGCTCATGGTTTGGTTTTAGGTGGTATCAAAACTGGTCACAAAGCTCAGTTTCTTCATGGTTTCCTACAAAATAGCCAACCACACTGAATGTTTCATGAAGTTGGTAACGTGACAAATTCTGAGGGCCGTGGAGAGAGGTCACTCATGTGCCTCGCAACCTTTTGCCATCTTGTTGGCTCCACCTTTCCAGCCAGTGCCCACCTTCCCTCATTCCATATCCTCCAAACTGCCTGTGCCAGCAGTGTGGCCACCTTGCCCAGGGCAGCTTTCCAGGGAGCCTGTGTCACATTGTCTCCTTCCCTTTTCTGGCTGCTTCTCTCTCAAACAGCAGACGCGCCAGGAATGCCTGCACTCCCCACTCCCCTTTAATTTTCTCCATCTCCTTACACAGCATTATCTGAGGCATCTATCCTCTGGGAGCACCACAAGCGGGAGCACCTGCTGGACACTCCCTGGAATGGGGCCCTAACCATCTCTCAGGTCAAGGCTTTGGCTTGCCTTTGGCTTGTTTTCACCAGGCTCCGTACTATAGTCGTTAAGTTCAGCACATTCTGCTTTGGTGGCCTGGGTTCCTAGGTGTGGACCTACACCACTCATCAGCCATGCTGTGGCGGCGACCCACATATAAAGTAGAGGAAGATTGGCACAGATGTTTGCTCAGGGCTAATCTTCCTCAGCAAAAAAAAAAAAAAAAAAAAGAAAGTAATAAGATCTATCTGAATTCTGGCTCCACTGAAACTTCACTCTTGCTCCTGCTCCCACCTCAGGGCTCCTCTGACCTTCAACACACCACTGAGAGATGGAGCTGTGTCTCCATGAAACGACTGAAGAGTCAAGTGGTAAAGTCCCAACTGAGACCCAGGCCTCTCGACTGCCAGCCCTGGGCTTTCTCAGGGTTTTCTTCCCCTTGACTATCTTTTATTACTTGGCTTTCTTCAGGAAAAAAATGCCCCACACTGTGAATTTCCTTCAGCAAGTACAGACTCTCTGCTTGGTTAGGCAAACTGGGCCATGGAGGGTGGGATGTAGCAGAGGGTACAAGGGTGGGCAGCTGGACCAACTTCTCCATTAGGCACAGGAGGCCCAGTGCCCAGGGCCCACGATGCTTTCAGAGCCCCACAGATGGTTCAATTTCTTTTTTTTCCCCAAGGGGATTTCTTTTGTGTGTGTGTGTGTGTGTGTGTGTGTGTATGTGTGTGTGTGAGAAAGATCAGCCCTGAGCTAACATCCATGCTAATCCTCCTCGTTTTGCTGAGGAAGACCAGCTCTGAGCTAACATCTATTGCCAATCCTCCTCCTTTTTTTCCCCCAAAGCCCCAGTAGATAGTTGTATGTCATAGTTGCACATCCTTCTAGTTGCTGTATGTGGGACGCTGCCTCATCATGGCTGGAGAAGCGGTGTGTCGGTGCGTGCCCGGGATCTGAACCCGGGTCGTCATTAGCAGAGCACGCACACTTAACTGCTAAGCCATGGGGCCGGCCCCTCAATTTCTTTTATTTTTTAAAATTATTTATTTATTTATTTTTAAAGATTTTATTTATTTATTTATTTTTCCCCCCCAAAGCCCCAGTAGATAGTTGTATGTCATAGTTGCACATCCTTCTAGTTGCTGTATGTGGGACGGGGCCTCAGCATGGCCGGAGAAGCGGTGCGTCGGTGAGCGCCGGGGATCTGAACTCGGGCCGCCAGCAGCGAAGCACGCGCACTTAACCGCTAAGCCACGGGGCCGGCCCTCAATTTCTTTTAAAATCAGAAGGAAAAAAAGAACTTTTAGGTCAAAGAAATTATTATAATATATGATATTAATATATTTGTCTTCATGCCAATGCAGACATAAAATATAACTTTAATATTTTTTATGGAGGAAGAGGCCCACAAAGGCAGAGTCCCCAGTGTCCACAACAGTTACAATGTGGCTCTGGTGGCCAGGGGTATCCTCAGTGAACTTTACATGTGAAGGTCCATTTAATGGGATGATCGTACTATTGGTGGCAGATAGACAATTGGCACCTCCCGAACTATGATCGACCATCACATCCT